ATTATTTCAGCCTGTGACCAGATAATATCGGTCAAAGGTAAGACTAGGGAACCAGCCAACCCCAAAACTGATGATTTCCTACCATCCTATGGTTAACTAATCTTTGTCCAAAAATAAAATAGTAATTTGTTGATGTGAATGAATGGGTGTTAGTCATAAATAGGCTAATAAGTAATGGCAGTAACTAGAAAAGGACTAGTAATTTATAAATAACATCCCTATAATTTGCCTAGTTACAATGGTTCTTCCATTGAAAACCTTATGGTTACACAACTGAAATGTGCTTCTCCTGCAATGGTAATTCATGTCTTCATCATTTCTTGACCACAGTGCTGCAATGTGTTCTACATGGGGCTGCCTTTAAAGACTAAGCAGAAACTGCAATTGCTGCAAATTGTAATGGTTTGGTTACTAGTGGGCACCTTACACTTGTGCTTTAGACTCTACATTAGTTATGAGAAGATTTCTGGATGCAATTCAACGTGCTGTTTTTGACCTATAAAGCCCTAAAGGCCTTGGCATCTAGGTACTTACAGGATCACCTTCTCCTTTTTGAATTGGCCTATCCAATCTGTTTTTCCAGGCAGAAGCTTTTGATTATATCTCACTTCTGTAAACAAAAGGGAACGGAGGCCAGGATGCGCTGTTCGCTAGTTGTTGCTCTGGCCTTCTAGAATACCTCCTTAGAATTAAGACTTGTTCCATTCCTACTAGTATCCCAGAAACTACTGAAGATGAAACTTTTCCAAAGAACATTTGGTTGAATAGTTTATCTCCATCCTTAATTTATTTTATCTTGAATTAATTACCTTGAATTAATTATTGATATTATTTCAATTGGGTTTGTTATGATTTGTTTGGGCCATTTCCCAGTATCACTAATCCTTGTATTATTGTAGCTTTGATTGGTTATTGCTTGTTTTAATTTATTTCTATTTGCTGTGGATATTTTAACTGTAACAGCTATGTTTGCTGATAGTTTTATGACCCACTATAAGTTTATGTTGCTTTGAAGTAAATAATTTACCACTGTGTGCATCGCTCTTCTTCCTCTTATCTTTCCTCACAGAAACAATTCTGTGAGATAGGTTAGGCTAAGGGAGAAAGTGACTGGTCCAAATGTACCTAGTGAATTTCTGTGGCTGAGAGTTGGCTAGAATTTGGGTCTTCCCATACCTAGTCCAACACCTTAATCATTGAACCATAGCATGGCTCTCTGTGAACCTTGGGCTTCATCTAGAACTGTAAGCTGATGCAAGATTTTTTATTTATATATTTATTTGGGTCTGCTCTCAAAACTCTGTCTGCCAGGTTGCTGGGTTCTCTGTACACTTGTTATGCTATTGCTGAAGCAACAGCAGTGGCTGCTGTCAGCTGTCAGAAGGACCTTAACAACTTGGATACCTGACAGATTGTCTTTGCTATAACAGACTGGCTCTTTTGCTAAGATCATCAGCATGTGCTGAGAACTGCAGGATACCATCTTGTACAGGTAGTCCTTGCTTAATGACCATTTGTTAACAATGGTTTGAAGTAATGGCATCCTCAGAAAGGGTGCTTTATATGGCCTGTAAAGCATTTCCAGCTGTCGTAAAATGTCGTGCCACCCCCTTGCAGTTGCATGGTTGCATTTCAGGCACTTGGCAATCGGCTTGCATTTACAACCAGTTGCCATGTGCCCTGCACTCATGTGATTGCCATTTGGAATCTTCTCTGCCAGCTTCCCTATTGGATCTGGTCCCAGTTGTGGTCATTAGATGAGGACTACCTGTACTTCCTTGTGAGCAGGCCTTCTCAGTTGTGGTCCTTCACTCTGAAAGGTTCTCCAGCCTGAAATTCCTGAATATATAATTTAGGGATTTGTTAAGGAGTGCGCTCTCCCGTAGAGCTATCCCTGTAAGAATGCTATAGGTATGGTTTGGGTGTTTTTTTTTTAAATTCTCTTTTTAAAATTTTACTTTTAAAATTGAACCTGTCATTTTATACTATCTTATAGTATCTTAATTACTGTTTAGAGAGCCAGGTTGGTATAGTGGTTAAGGCTTCAGGCTAGAAACTGGGAGACCGTGAGTTCTAGTCCTGCCTTAGGCACAAAGCCATCTGGGTGTCCTTGGGCCAGTCACTCTCTCTCAGCCCTAGTAAGGAGGCAATGGCAAACCACTTCCAAAAAACCTGCAGGAACTTGTCCAGGCAGTCGCTAGGAGTCAAAACTGACTTAAAGACAATAAGAATAATAATAACTATTTGCATTTATATTTTAATAGATTGTCAACCACTTTGAAAAAATAAGAACAACAACGAATACATTAAATACATGTTCATTGCTCAGGTTGTATGTCCTATACAAATGATCAGCTCTTTAGTTTCTGTAGCCATCTATTTGAAAAATCGATGCTTTGTTTCTTCCTGGTCTTTAACTCTTCCTAATTTCATCTGTTGAATGCGCAGGAGGTAATTTCTGTACTGCTAAAGATGTTGCAGAAGAAATTCAATCATTAACGGCTGAAAGAGATTGCCTGGAAGGGCTGCTCCATGAATGGTCAACTCTGCATGCCAAAAATATCCAGAAACTAGAGAGAGTGAAAGAAGGTTACAAGAGGCTGAAGGAAGAAATGGAGCAAGAGGAGTTTGCATTTGGTAAGCAGAACAATTTGCCAGCTGTTGGTGTGATAGAAGCCTGCCATTTTCATGCAGGATGCCATCCAGTATTCTGCCTGATTTGACAAACAATAATCTAGTTTATATGATGTCTTAAAGAAAGATCTTTGATGGGCAATTCTGCCAGGAGCTTTGATGTATACTGCGTCGTAAGGGCTGTCAGCTTCTGTCCCTGTTATTCCTGAGTGACGTTTTTTTTGCTAGCTCTGTATATGTTGATGATGTAGCAAGCTTTCTCTCCTTTGAGTCATTTTCTCCTTGCCCCTGTGCTGAAGCCTGCTGCCTGACCCTTGAGATGGATTGCCATGGGCTTTGACAGCTTTGCATAATATAGTACAGCTTGTAAGTATGACCACACATGCTTCATTCTGTAGAAAAAGATAGAAGATGCTCCAGTCATAGCAAACCCAGCAGGAAATATTCAGGGTCATGGGGTTCTGTTCAGTAAGCATACAGAATAGGGACATAATTTGCAATGTTTGGGAAGCAATATGTTTTTTTTTTCCAATGTGAAATAGATTTAGTCAGTGTAGTAAACACAGTTGTCTTGCAAATGTAAACACGTTTAATGGTTAATTATATTTCTAATAATAGGAAAAGAGAAACATCAGAAATACAAAATCTCCTAGTATTTATATGGTAGCCACATGTACAAGAATAAGGATGAGATGGCTGGAAGCAGTCACAACTGAACCATTTTTGGGAGAAATAGAAGTAGCTGGAGTTAAAAGACATGAAATGGTCAAGATCCAAATAGCCAATTGTGTATTTTGGTGTTTTTGTGAAATTAGGCACTGGGCATATTTGTATAGTCTAGAGTAGGGTTCCTCAACCTCAGCAACTTTAAGATAGGTGGACTTCAACTCCCAGAATTCCCTAGCCAGCATGGCTGGCTGGGGAATTCTGGGAGGTGGGGTCTACCCATCTTAAAGTTGCTGAGGTTGAGGAACCCTGGTCTAGAGGGATTTTCTTTGAGTGGGATAGAGCAGAGTTCACTGCCAAGTAATGGACAGTAATTCTGCCACAGGAAGGAGGTTGGTTCATGCTTCCAGACATCTTCAAAACCTGAAGTGGTTTGGACAGATCAGATTATTCTTCGTTCTTGGACTTTCTGAGCAGCAAGTTGTATGAGGAAGGGGTGGTTCATTATTGCAGGAAAGAAAAAGACTATTGGGTTGATTATGAAACGAGATAACATGAGGGTGCTGTTAGTGCTTTTGTATCTGTGTGTGTGTGAAAATACACAATCTTCTCCAGGATTCATGTAAATGTAAATGTAAATGTACGTAAGTACAGCTGTAAATACTGTTATATACACAGTTTTAGGGAAACAATAAAAGATTTCTATGCTTAAATGTAAATATATAGAACAGAGACACTGTTTTAAGATTAACAATTAGATTAGGCTTACAGAAAATGTTAAATGTAAACTGCCTAGAATCAGTGGGAGTTGGGTGGCATATGCATTTAATAAATTATTGTTGTTGTTATTTAAATCTTTGATGATGAAAAAAAAAAGTTTTGTTATTTTTTCCCCAAAATATACTTGATAATTTTTTTTGACTGGACTTCCAAACTGCTCTTAAAAGTAGAACTCAAGGATTTTTCCTCCTCCCAAAATAATTCACTAATTCAGTTTTCTGTTTTAAAAACTGTAGTATTCCATTCCCAAATTAGTTTTGAAAGTTAGGATACTGTGTAGAACTGTTTGGGGGGCTATTCCTTCTGAGAAAAGGAAACTCAGAGCTTTCTAGGCATGGTTTGATTTTGTTTTTTTTTTTTAAAGTCTCATCACCCTTTGATGATTAGAGTATAAACAAATTGCAGAATACACTCTGCTAATATTCTTTTTAAAAAATGAACCTTGAATTCCTTACAATTCTCAAAAAATCTGAATCTGTTGCCTTGTATAATAGAGTGCAGTGGAGCACAAAATGCTGCAAGCAATATAAATAATTAAAAGTGTGCGATTTCCTTCCCCTCGCCCCCTCCCTTTTCACTTTTGCTCTCATCTACAGCATATCTTTCTTTAGGCTACGGTAATTTGTTTTTGAACTAATTGTATGAAGCGTATAACAATAAATTTAGTGAAAACATGCCTCAGGATTGTAAAAACTGACACTATTTACCATATGCTCATGTCTTTTTAACACGGCTGACTTTTGTTTTTGTTTTTTTTTAAATAATTTTAATTGGACTGTTTCTTGGAATGCTTTTTTCTTGATTAAGCATCTCTAGAGATTTGGTAAACCTTTGCTTTTGTTTATTTTTTATTTTAATGGGCCACTATATCATCCACAGTTGTGGTAGCTTCTAGGTGTCTGCTGAAAGTTGTTTGATAGGTAATATTTTACTTTCATATGGCGCTTTCTAAATTTACAGACTGCTTCATTTGTATCAGGCATGTGGGAGCTGTGGCCTTCCAAATGTTGCTGGACTATTTCTGGATTTATTGAACTCCTAAATGATCTACCTCTGCAGTCAAGCTATCTGAATAGCATTTGTATGGTACTACTGTGAACCATTAAGAGGTTGTAGAGTTTTTGATGATTATTAACTTCTACCTATCTAGTAATGAAATCTCATTAATAAATTGTGACATAGTCAAATATGTTGCCTTTCAGCAGATTTATAAAGCTGATAAACTCTATACAGCTCATCACTGAATAAAATGTAGTTAGATGTGATAACATCTGTATACACCCTCTATCATATTCAGATTTGCCTGGGGCTAGTTTGTATCTCTCTGTGTTTGCGTAATGTGAATAAAAGGATCAAGAAAAGAGGTATTTGGATACTGAGTTTTCCCAATGACTCAGAGGGTTAGAGATGCTTCACAAATCTTAATAAAGATTGTTTAATCACTTAATGCAGGTCACAGTATTAATTATAAATTTACCCAATCTGGGATTACAGAAGTTTCCTAATTTTGATAGTTTGATAGTTCTTATAATCGGTGTAGACAACTGGTAATGTGTACCAATAATGAATGAATTCTCCATGTAATGAAAGGTAAAATTTAATATATACAGGCATAAACCAACAATTCATTTTTCAATATTACTCCATTTTGTAATCTAAGTACTCCATTTTTAGTCTAAAGCTAACATCTCCCTTGAATTGTGCTTGATTTCTAATGAGTACATAGATCTGTCCACATTGTTTTCTTGGCCACAAAACAGAAGTAGTTTTGTTTATCTGTTTGTTCAATTTATATAGCTGCCCATTTCACGTATGTGACTCTGGGTGACTCATAGAGTTAAAACACATGCATACACACACACAAATGTACAACAAAATCATACATCAAAAACCATTTAAATGCATTAAAAACAATAAAAATGATTAAAACTATAAAAAACATAATCTGCAAGAGTGCAATCCAATTTACTAACAATATAGCCATTTAGTAGGTTCCACCCCACCACTACTGGATCCCCAGGCAAGTTGGCAAAACCAAGTGTCTTTCGGCCCTTTCTAAAGAAGGGTAGGTGCCAATTTAAGTTCTGGAGGAATGGTGTTTTCTGTAGCCTTTGTATTTACTTCCCAGTCTAGTCTATAGCTCAGGATTTTGTGGTGAGCTCCCATTTAAGAATGAATCAGGTCTGACCCTGGTCCCATCTGAAAGACCTTGGTTTGCCCCTGCTGCTTTTTATGCTTGAGTTGACTTGGTTTGCCAAGGCTCTACAGATCCCTTGATGGGGCCCTCATTCATGAGTGAAGCACCCTTTTGGAATTGAAGCTAAGGTGCTCCAATCCTTGATGCGGCTGCTTTGAGGTCCTGCCAAGGTCTTCTGTTCATGCCTATGCCTGCACAGAATTCTTTCCAATAGGATGGCTGATGAGACAAAGTGGTGGCTGCTTTGTTGAATGATATTAAAAAGTCTTCTCTGTGCCACTGCCTCCACCACCTGCAATTCTCTGGATTGGCTTTAATGACACCTCACTCCACCGATGGGCTAGTTCATGCCAACTTTCAGAACTTTTCCTTAAGGGAAATTAAAAAAAAAAAAAACTATCATCTTTCCACAGAGGACCAAAAACAAAGTGTGCATGGGTTTATTACTGAATGCATTTTAGTTGTTTCAAAAAGGGATGTTTGCAAGTAATTTTTATATTTATTTCAATAAACCCTTTCCCAGTCTGATCAGAGAATAAGCAAAGTATATCAGGAAACATTTTCAGCACTGTGGAAGTCAGTAGCAGAAGTTTGAGCTAAGCCTGACTTGATATTATAGGGCTGTAAACAAGATAACACTACTGTAGTGGGACAAACAACATCCTATTAGAATTATTTCCCATTACAGCATTTTCAACATTGCAAGATTTCACTGTGTACACATACTTTGCAGTTCCCAGGGACACCAGGAATCAAAGAAACTTCACTTCCTAAAATTTTCAGTGTTGGCTGCCACTGATGAAGAGAGTCAGAGCATCAAGATGGTCTGCTTGTCCTCACGGTACAAACATGAGGTGATGAGAAGAATATAGGAAGGTTGCAGGAGGTCTCAAACTCCACTGAATTCTGATAATTTTATTGGGAGAAAAGCAAGCTGTGTCACCAAACCATAATAGATGTTAAATGAAAACCTTAATTTTCAGTGTCCAGCAGATAACTGTTTTTTTTTTTTAAACGAGATAACTCTCAGATCTTTAAAATAGCTCTGAATAAGAGTGTGTATCTATGCATGTAAATGTGAAATATATATTAAGGGAAGCTGGGTTGGGAGAAGACAAGCATGGTTTTAAAATTGGAAGAAGAAGCATCAATAGCCTGCACTATGCTGATGACACTAGCCTGATAGCTGAAAATGCAAAGGGTCTTCAAGCCCAGGTACTAAAAGTCAAAAAGCACAGTGAAAAAATGAGACTAAAATTAAATATAAAGAAGACCAAATTAATAACAACAGGTAGAACAAGCAGCCTTAGAATTGACAGTAAAGATATCAAAGTGCTGGATAGCTTCTGCCTTTCAGGAT